ACAGAGAGAGAACGCGAGGAGAGGACAAAAGATCCACGACGCTACAACACGCAACATCCTGCACAGAACCTCGTCAGACTCAACCCAGTACAGGATGTGTGGATTAAGGACCAAGGAGCGGAAGGAGCTATCATCAAAAGACATGCCTACCCATGGTCAAATCTGGTCAGGGACCCCACGGGACCATCAGAAGGAACCGTCACCATCTAATCCCAATGAGGTCCTCACCTGAGCAAAGTAGCCGTGGTGCAGGGGAGCAGTTCTCGGGAGGCGTTCCAGAAAAACCATCAGCAGAACCACCACAGCACAGTCTTCCAGCGCCGCCATCTACTCCTACTACCAGAACTGGGTTTGGGAGAGTCTTGGTGAAACCAACCAGGTTGGATTTATAATTTTATTTTCTTTCCCTTTCTTGCTCCTACGTTTCAGAGACAGTTAAAAAGACTCTAATTTTAAGTAAAAAATAAAATTTTAAAAAAACATGAATGTTGTGATGTGATTGTGTTCTGTTTCACTGTACAATGCTCAGCCAGTTACAGAGGATAGAGGAGGATCAGTTAAAATGGATGTTCGAGTTATTGGTTTTGGAGTGGATTGTTCTGGGTAAGAGTAACATTTGTTTATGCGTATGTGATTCTTTGGCACAGGCTTAGACAGGAGCAGACCTTCCAACTACGAGGCAGAATAATCCTCAAGGTCTGTTAAATTATTTGTAGTCTACCCAATGATTCTAGAAAGGGGTGATGTAGTGTAATCGTGTACGACAAAGACTACAGACTCCCTGTGCGATGACGTCACGGGTGTGCGTCGGGAGCGGTAGACGAGAGCAGAGACCGGAGAGAGGAAGACACACTCGGAGAAATTAAGTTATTCAAGTTAACACAACAATTCGACTCACGTCTGCCTCATTCAATAACACGACAAGGAGGGTGGGATTGGGCTTGTCCAAAAGCAGCAGCGCGTCTCTCTTCACCTCCTTCTCATCAATACCAATTAATTGCCTTATCATAAACACATCGGCTGCGCGGGGATCGCTGGCCAGGAGCTAGCTGGAGGCTAACTGTGGCGACACCATCAGAGCTTAGTGTGAGCCGCCTTCTACGCCATCAACACAAGTCTCTTCACTTCTCTCAACTGGCAATGCTAATGAATGTCAATTACTGTATAGGGGTTTATAATTAAAGATTTAAGTATACACATGTACTGCTGTAGTCTTTGTCCCACATATATAAGATATAATCACTGTTTACATATTCTAAATATGCTGGTACCCACAGACACTTACACAAAAATTCCAAGGGAGGGGAACAAAACCCTCCTTCGCGTTTTTTCATTTATCGCAGCCGGGTCCCGTTCCCATTAACTGCGATAAGTGAGGGAACACTGTGTGTGTGTGTGTGTGTGTGTGCGTGCGTGTAGTGACAACTTGATTTAGGGAAGTTAGATCATTTTGACCACAAAACGTGATTATTTCAAGTAATATCATTGGTATTTACAAACCGGTTTGCCCTATATTACAAAGCCATAAAAGCCTTGATCATGGACACCACCCAGCTCCTTTTTAAAAGAAAAAGAAAAAAAAAACCGAAACGTATCCAATTTTTTGAAGGCATAAGACTCCACGTACCTGCACATGAGACTCCAGCGTCAGTGACCTTTATTGTGTTCAATTCACTTCAAAGTAACTCAATTAACTGATCAATTACAAGTTGGCAACATTAAGAATAAATACCGCTTGGCAATACCGGCCAAATAAAAACCACCTACTGTAATTGTGTGACAACAAAAGAAAATCGATTAATTGACCCACCCTAATTAACAAGGGCCCCACCTAAATGGTAGCCAGACAAGTGATTTAAGCCCTCTGGTAACAACTGTGAGACGACAGACGGGAGAAACTGACAACAACGCAAGGCCTGAGAGGGTCTCCAAGAGCAAACTTGAGTGTGCATGGTGAGTACTATCGCCATCTTGAAATGTTTTCAGGTAACACATTAATGTTGGACATTTTTGGTGTTGCGCTTTGTACAATTAAGGGAAAAATATGCATTTTGACTCAGATTACATTGGACCACACACTTTCAAACCAAACGCATGACAAAAAGGGCATTATAAATATGGACAAAACATGTGCATACGTGCAAAATACATGCAACATTTTTTTTTTTTAATACATAATACAACAATCAAAAATTAACCATGTACTGTTTTTTGGGAGTTTTTTTCCCAGCGTAAAGGGCCCTCATGCATAAAAGTTACCATTCAAGGATGGCACGAAACGGGTGAACAGCAAATAAATATTAGGTGTCAGAATGTGCATTTTTTTTTTTACAAATATCACCTCACTTTGAATTGTAATATTATTGTAGTACTATTGAGGTATATATATATATATATTATTTATTTTTTGAAAATTACCATAATCAAGAGGCCACTTTGAGAGGGTGCCACTTGCGGCCACGGGCCAGGAGTTGCCTACCCCTGGTCTACAATAGTGAATGAATGTTTGTGACATTATTTTCGAGATTGTATGTGTACAGTGTGGAGCAGGTGGAGTTTGCAGTGTGTCCACTCAAAAAGGAAAAAAATTCCATCCCTCCATCTATATTCTAATCCGCTTATCCCCACGAGGGTCGCGGGCGTGCTGGAGCCTATCCCAGCTGTCGTCAGACAGTAGGCGAGGTCCACACTGAATTTCGTTGCCAGCCACTCGCAGAGGTAAACACTCAATAAATTTAAGTACTGAAGGCTTGAATCAATATTTAAAAAATCTTCCAATTGCTGCAACCGAAAAATGTTACCTTCAAGTCATGTTTGTAAAATAAAAGCAAACCTGTTGTGTTTGGATGTTGTAATTCCAAATAATAATTAAATTGGATTAATTACATCATCAAAACAATGTGCTAAATTTAACCTGAAAATGATTCCTTTATTTTAACCATATTCGGACATCGTAACAAAGTGTATTTTTGAATTTGTATTAAAGGTTTAAAATTGCCATCATGCTGCATTAAAAATGCATTTAATACTTTTGAATTATGGGAAATGCAACTCACTTATAAAGTACAGAGTGACAAGTACAGCATTGAAAAGCATTTAAAAATAAAAGAACTGAAGACATTTAAAACAAAGTGCAGAAATAAAAGCTGACTAGAATTACTGAGACAGTGGAAGAAAAAGATTTTTTAAACGGTATAAAAGTAAAAAAAATGCTTTCTCAAAGCCCAGTCATAGGCATGGGATACTAAGCTTGGTTTTTCAACTCGAACTTGAAAGCATTCACACTTGGGGGTGACTTCATACTCCCAACAAATAACTTTTCAAAAAAGTCTTTTGGTGTTCAATGATTTTTTTCCGTACCATATGGCTAACATCGTACTTCAAATGAGAAGAGAACCTTGTTTTAGACCCAAGTGTTCCATCAATAAAAAAGAATCATTGCTTTCAAGTTACAAAGCTTGCTGTAGCGACATGCTCCACTTTGTCAGCTTCATTTTCCCGCAAACGCACAAATGACAGACAGAGCAGGAGACCTCAGCAGTACTCACACTGCTTCGACGAATGGATCTGATTAAAAACAAGACACTCTCATCCCACCTTTCTTTATTACAGCAGTTTGCCCATAAAATTTAAAAAGTCACAAATCAAATGAATCTTACGAGGGACATTACAGAAGTAAAAATGTTGTTTTCTGACAATTAAAACATGTTGCTTCCATCATATTATTCACACACAAACACACACACACACACACACACACACACACACACACACACACACACACACACACACACACACAAACGCACACATGATTTTGAAGTTCCTAATTATTTTTGAATTATATTTTAATGTGTGAAGCACTTATGAGACATGCTTCACAGCTTAACAGAGTGTTCAATAAAACTTTTAGAATGTAAAAAACAAGAAAACACGTTTGTGGCATTGAATATTATTTTTTTGTTTCTTTTAGGTGCCACCCACAGCACTTGTTTTTCAATAACATCAATTCTTTTGCTTATTTCAAAGGCCATTTCAAAATGCTGTCACAGAAAGGAACCACGGTTCCGATGTTAGAGTCACAGAAGCGAAAATATGACCATGAAAGTTTCTGTTCTTCTTGATGAGTTTGTCCTTCGGTGTGAGTGTGATCTATCTTTCTCCAGATTTTGTGAGAAGAGGGTAAATTTCGTAAACTTTTGGTCAGATCTCCTGCTGAAGAGATGGAAATAGCGAGAAAGATAGAATCAACCTGAATTTTGGCCATTGGTTAATTCAAAACGTTCTTGAAAAACTGATGATATACTCACATTTAGCATTTTCCCCCCAAAATAGGGGATGGTCCCACAAAAACGGATGTAAAATTTCAAAAAAAAAAATCTCCAAATAGGTGAGGATCCGCATACATGCTGTGTTCTACAGTGAAAACCTTTGTTGACAAATGGATTGTGAAGTTATAGGCTTTTGCACGGCGAGGATCTGTGTGACCGTGGACTTTAAAGTGCATGTTTGATGCTGGCACCATGTTCATCAATGACAGAAAAAAAAATCTGTCCAATGGCGACATTAAGATTAGCAGGGAGTTATGACTCTTCTTCCCAGTCGCAGTCCAGGTGTCTCGTGGCAAAGCATGGAACCTGGGCCTCAATAAACTGACAGTGTCCAAGCAGCCAGCTCTCCCATCATGTTCACCTGATGGACTTTTTCTCGATATACATTTACCATCCCTTTTGACTGTCTTTTAGGGCATCATCAGCCACAATGATCATTCTCAAGGTGTTCACTGTTGCGCTAGTGGTGTTAGGTAAGTAATCAAACGCTCAACTAGCAATTAACAAAGACTAAGTGAAAGGTCACCATGTTAATAAGATGTCAACTCTTTTTCACAGGGACCAGCTGTCTTTCTGCTAAAATAAAGAGACAACTGCCATCAAATGCAGGTTTTACTCCAGATGAGCAAAGTCCACCCGGACACCCACCGAGTCAGCCAGGGCACCAGCCAGGTACACCCGGACACCCACCTGGTCCACCCGGACACCCACCAGGTCCACCTGGGAAACCACCTGGTCCACCAGGTCCCCCTGGGAAGCCACCTGGTCCACCAGGTCCGCCTGGGAAACCACCTGGTCCACCCGGACACCCACCAGGTCCGCCTGGGAAACCACCTGGTCCACCAGGGAAGCCACCTGGGAAACCACCAGGTCCACCAGG